CTCTGATTTCACCCATTATCGTTTTGCTAAAATACAATCATTTAGAAACAATTAGATCATCTACTTAAAGTGTGGTATTGGTATAGTGTGAATTGTCTCTAAATGTTAAGAGCTGACATCTAACTCTACAGAAAAGCTGTTTATTTAAGAGGGAGGGAGACAGGAAGTGTAGATAGGTGAGAGAGGGAACAAGGAAAGACAGAAGGGAGGGATGAAAAGAAGGGGAAGAAAGTGGGTTTGGTGCAGTAGCTCATGCCTGTAATACCAGCACTTTGGGAGGCCAAGGTGGGCAGATCACGAGGTCAGGAGTTCAAGACCAGCCTGGCCAACATAATGAAACCCTGTCTCTACTAAAAATACAAAAAATTAGCTGGGTGTGGTGGTGGTCACCTGTAATCCTAGCTACTTGGGAGGCTGAGGCAGGAGAATCACTTGAACCCAGGAGGCAGAAGTTGCAGTGAGCCGAGATCGTGCCACTGCACACCAGCCTGGGCGACAGTGTGAGACTGTCTCAAAAATAAATAAATAAATAAAAGGGGAAGAAAGCATATTAACTACAGAGAATCTTATGTCGCAGCTCATCCTTGTTTGTTATTCAAGGGAAATCCCATTTAACATGAATAAATAATCAATTCCTAATGGTGATCTACAGCATCAGCCTCCAAAAACAGCTTCCAGACCTAAAAACGTACCAGGGTACTGTAGATTAACTATGAATTCCAGGTGCTGACAATGCAAGATATGAAGAGGGTCTGAAGGAGGGAAAGTTCCTAACTTCCAATAGAAGAAGGAACCTCTACTCAGATTTATTTTAAGCATTATAAAATGATAGCTTAAATAGAGGTGTGGCCATGATGGCTTATCTTTATTTGGGCACACTCCATTCTGTGAGATCCCCTTTAGGAAGTGATGTTAGGGCCATTTGATTAAAAACTAAACTGTAGATATATCTGGGATAAAATTTGGCAGCTGTTGAGCAAAACAGCTATTTTTTTAATATTTACCTTTTTCATGATTCTATAATTCACACTTATTGTGAAATACTAAGAAAGTATAGAGTAAGGAAAAATATCTATAATTCACTACACAGAAACAACTATTATTAACACTTTTTTACATCTCCTTCTAGTCTCTTCTCCAGATTTTAACATTACTGAGCATACATTACATGTATACAATTGTATCCTATTTTTCTTTTTTTTTTTTCTTTTATCAACCGGGGTGTACACTTGGGATCATATGTATCCCATTTTTAACTCAATATTATGTAATAAAACCTTCTGGTATAATTATAAACTCTTTATAAATATCACTATAACATCTGAATAATACCCTTTCACATAAAACCTCTCAGAATTTACCTAGCCATGCCCTGGATATAAATATTTGGATTATATTCACCATTTGAATTTTATATTTTAAAATTCTTTAGAAGAACTATGATGTACATCTCAAATTGTCAAACTTGGAGGAAATTTGAGGCAGACAGTGATGTCACCCTGTTAGTAGTGCTAGTTAGTGATTGCTAATGACTATAAAAAATCATATTGGAATTTTTAAGTATTTACTGCAGCTTTTAGGTAAGCTCTTTTTCCCCCAAAAGTAAAAGTTCTAATTTTCAGTTCTAAAGAGTATACATTTAGTTTTGTTTGAATTTGTTGCATTGATAGTATTTATAAAAAATAAAGTTAAATTCATTTAAAATCTCACAGCCCAGAGATCATTGTTATTAATAACTTAGGAAATATTGTATTTCCATACAGTCCTATTTATCTGTCTTTTTCTCTTTCTCTTTGTCTTTCTCTTTCCAAACTGAAAGGACAAATTACTTGCTGTTCTGTATTCAAATCTTTTCGCTTAACATTGTAATAGGTATTTACCATGTTAATAAATATAGATCTACATTATCTTTTGACAGCAACATTGTGCCTCAGTATATAGATAATTTATTGACTCAATCATTTATTGATGGACAGTTGGGAATTTGGAACTTTCTTCTTACTAAACTATGCTACTATATATGCACATATATGTGTACACATGTTTTAAAGTACACTTACATGATTATTTCCTTAGGATCAATTAATTATAGTGGAACTGCCAAAGTAAAATGTATATATTACTAAACTGTCCTCTAGTATCAGTTAATATCTTCACCACCCAAAAAAGAGACTGCCCATTTCTCCGCATCCTCACTAATTCTGTAATTTTCAACGGTAATTTTTGCTATATACAAGAATATTTTCATACTGGAGGTGTGAGATGCATTTTCCGCTCATGAAACCAAACCCCGAAAACATATATATGTATATATATTATATATATGTATATATTGTTTATATATATATATACATATATTGATATAATTGCTATGGTAGAAAATAGTTTTTTAAACTAGGAAAAGTATTTGTGATATATCCCTAATATTTTTAAAATAGCTATAAATCAATGATGAAAAGATGAATAACACAGTAAAAATTTGGAAAGGACAAATGAGTAGTCTAACAAGTTTGGTTGCTTAGTCTCATTCTTTACTACAAAGGCAGTGATCCGTGAAGTCCTCCAAGGCCACCTCAAGCTCTGCTTCTTATGCTCTGATGGCAACACCTACCCTCACTGCCCTTGAGGGGAGTGTTATGGGAAGCGAAACACCATCAGAGCTCTACCTGTAACATTTCTGGGCTGGGTGGGTGTGGTAAATATTCACCTGGTGACATACATTTATGTTTATTTGGCATCACATCCTCAAAGGGCCAGGCTCACTCACATGAATGCAAAAATTTTCATCATCAGCACTCTGCCATCAGACTCCAGAATCAGTAAATTATTGGGAAGGGAAAAATACACACTGGTAACATTGCCTGATCCATGTCTCCAGGGCAGGATTGACACTATTCTTCTACCAGATGTAGAGATTTCTGGATGTTCTCATAAATAAAGTGCTAGAGGCCACATCATCACCATCCTCCATTCTTCCCCTCTCTCTGATTTCCATGTGTATTACTACATACTTAATGAAGTGGAATATTTTTCAGCAACTTCAGGGAAAGTGAAATATGCTTGAGAATTGGAAATGCCACACTGACAGCATCCCTCAGCCTCTGCAGTGCAAACTGTGACAGGGCATCTTCCCTGTGTTCTGGGACAGGGAATATCTGGGTTCTGGAAGTGAGTTTCTCCAGTCCTTCCAAGGGTCAGGAGTTGGACAAAGCTGTTCTGGTGGTAATTGGAGCATTTCTTGAGCACAGAAGTTCATTTGCAGATGGTAAGGGATGACATGCTCTGGGGCATTTTCCCCCTCTTTGGCAGAAGATTATGGACATGAAAGTCACGTCTGTCTTAAATCCTTAGGCAGTGTCCAGAAAGGAAGCAAAAGAGACGCAAACATGTTAAAGAGTCTAAGAACTCCCTTCAGGCTAACTGCAAGCTAAGGAGAATGGTCAGAACAAGACTTAGGAAATGGCTTGTTCTCTACCTGAGCAGTAAAACACCTCTTGAGGTGTGCACATATGGTTATGAGCCAGGTCTTAGTGCTGCCAGCAGTGCCCTTGGAGACCATGCCACTGACTCAGTGTACCTAGGGCTAGGAGTGCCAAATGTCTCACTTTCTTAATGATGCTCCTGGAAAACTTCACATATTATCCACAAGCTTCTGTAATATAGTTTATACTCAGAAGCTGGGGTTTGGGGGAGATTTGAAATGTTATATATACATGTACACATATATCATATATGTATGTGTATGTATATATGGTGTATATCTTCCACACACACACATCCCACTTATTTAAGGAGCCATTCTACTGACTGGGACACTTGCAGAGGCACCATCTTCTACAAGATGTCTTTGCAATGATAAAATTAAGGTGTTTTCTTTTCATTAATCAGGTTCTTTTACATAATCTCTTTCTGTAGTCTCTGTATTATTCCTCCTTTCTGCTAATGTGTGGGTGTTGAAGATAGATCAGGCATACCCACCTTGCCCTTTCTCCAAAGCATCATTTCCAGATATTTCTCTAAACAAGTCACTTTACTTCTCACACTTTGATTGACTAAAATGGGTTCTACCTTTAATCCCTCATAAATTTCTAGACTTTTTGATACCTAGAGAATAATTCTCACCTTTAATTTAAAATTAACCTGTACTTTGGGTGAGAGAACCATAGGTCTCATGAAAGAACATGAGTGAGAGGTACGTCTAAATCTTTTAATAGTAGCCTGCAGTCTAGTACTTGTAAGCTACTCATGGACACATAAGAAAAGTAATGAAAAGTCTTCAGTCAAAATAATTTTCTGGGATTTTTTTCTATGCTTTTATCCATCACCACCATGCTGGAATAATCTTCACTACATTGGTTCTTCACCAATAGCTTTCACATAGTCCTCTACCAGTTTTACAGTACCTTTCAGTAAAGGTTAGGAAGAATCCTAACACTGTTTAGCTTCCTCAATAAGTGTGCACTAAATCTTTTGACAGGATGTCTGTACACTATCTATTTACTTAAAAAGAACCAGTTTATTCATCATTATATTACCACCAGTCATTAACATTACTCATCTAGAATAGGTACAGTGGCAAGCCACCTCCTAGCAACCTGTGTGTTTACCACTCCATCCCAAACCTCTGATACACTTAGAAAAAACTTTTAAACATGTAGGATAGCATTCCAGAAAACAGTTTCAAAGATCTGAATCTTAGTGCAGAAATTTACACACACACACACACACACACACGCACACACACACACACACACAATCTTATTAACCACCATCATTTGGAGATTTTTTTTTTATTTAGTCAACAAACAAGTAGAGCTAAAACACTTTGAAGTATTCCTTTTGAGACATTTTGATGTTGGATTCTGGCTTATTCCTTCTTAGAAAATGACTGATTATATTTAAATGTCAAATACTTATACCTAATGTCTTAGTCCATTTATGCTGCTACAACAAAATACCTGAGACTGAGACTGGGTAACTTAAAAACAACAGAAACTTACTTTTCATAGTTATGGAGACTGGGAAGTTCAGGATTGATGCACTTGCAAATTTGATGTCTAGTGAAGGCCTCTCTGCTTCCAAGATGGCACCTCTTTCTGTATCTTTATATGGCAGAAGATGGAAGAGAAAAAGGGAGAGAGACAGCTCCTTCACACCTTTTTTTGTACTTTAAGTTCTGGGATACATGTGCAGAACATGTAGGTTTGTTATATAGGTATACACGTACTATGGTGGTTGGTGATGGATATCACCCCATCATCTACATTAGGCATTTCCCCTAATGCTATCTCTCCCCTAGCCCCCACCCACCAACAGTCCCTGATGTGTGATGTTCCCCTCCCTGTGTCCATGTGTCCTCATTGTTCAACTCCCACTTACGAGTGACAACATGCTGTTAACTCAAGATGGATTAAAGATTTAAATGTAAGATCTAAAACCATAAAAACCCTACAAGAAAACCTAGGCAATACCATTCGGGACATAGGCATGGGCAAAGACTTCATGGCTAAAACACCAAAAGCAATGGCAACAAAAGCCAAAATAGACAAATGGGATATAATTAAACTGAAGAGCTTCTGCACAGCAAAAGAAACTATCATCAGAGTGACCAGGCAAACTACAGAATAGGAGAAAATTTTTGCAGTCTACCAGTCTAACAAAGGGCTAATATCCAGAATCTACAAAGAACTTAAACAAATTTACAGGGGAAAAAAGAAACATCAAAAAGTGGGCAAAGGATATGAACAGACACTTCTCAAAAGGAGACATTTATGCATACCTTTTATATAAGGGCACTAAGCCATTCATGAGGGCTCTGCTCTCATGATTTAATCACCTCCTAAAGACTCCACCTCTTAATACTATCACATGGGCAATTAAATTTCAACATATGAATTGTGGGGTTGGGACACATTCAGAGCATATCATTTAGTAAGAAATTAATGCATATTTTTTGACTGTTGTAATAAAATAATCTTTCATTAAGTTCAGCATCACTCATCTCTACTCAAGTAGTGACCAAAAGATGGAGATGTTCTTCAGAGAGGAGACACCAGCTCTATGGGTAACTCCCCATATAGATGCAGATTTGGAAACAGGAAAGGATGCCAGTAAAAGCACCAGAAGAACAACCAAGAGATGTGTGCACCTTAACTACACCAGCCACCCTAAAATGAGTTAGGCTTTACTTAAGATGGAATAAAAAACATGCACTCTAAACAGTCATCCATTTCTAGGATTGTGTAGGGGTTTAGTTTCCTCTCATTTCTTAGCAAAATGATTTTTCTAAAAATAAGTTGGTCTAAGAAAAAAAGATTTCTCCATACCACAGTTGAATTATTTCATGCGAACAGTATACCCCTTTGGCAGACTACATTGACTTTCAGACCAGCCTGCGGATCCAGGGAAAATAGACTGAATGACCTCAGGGGGCACAGAGTCAGGGCCAGCTGTATGCAGGAGTCCTTACTGTCTTCCAAAAACTACCAAATCAGTCCTTTGTTTCCTGCCTCAATGATCAGCATTGACAAATTTAAGAGATCAAAGTTCCTTTTAAGGCCTGAGCTATTATATTATTATATAGGGATTACTCCTAGATGAGCTACAGTTACCTTTGTCTGTGGTCTGGGGCCTGAAAGCACTACCAAACCCATGTGTGTGTGTGCATGCAGACACACACACACACACACACACACAAGTCTATTGATATGAGCTTTTCTCCTTTCTATTAGATGCATTACAAATCTGCCTATAATAGGGCCTCTCTGCATTCCAACAAAAATATTTCTGGAGCTCTCCTGGCTCCCACAATGTTTGCTGGGTGCACATTTAATATGTTTTAGCTTTACTGCCTGAAGATGGAATCAGGGACATCTACCTGCACATGACAGTGCTTTGGCTCTTGCATTTGCAGAACTTAATGTATGTATCAGTAATGAAAATCTTAATTAAGAAAGCTGCATCATTGTCCATGAACACTCATTTTTCTCCCCCTGCAAAGCCCTTTGTGTATTGCAGTATATACCTGGTCCAGACAGACAGAGCCCTCGAAGAGCTTGTCTGGCAGATCTTCTCTTGATTATTAACAGCTAGTGCATGACAAAGTCTTGCTCTCCTTTTGTCTTGAAGCTGAGGCTTGGAACAGCAGAGCACACAATGTACTGTAGGGTTTGTTTGTGTTTTTTTAAACTTGCTTTTATTACGTTGGTGGGTTTAAAAATCCGACAGTGTTGATCAAAACTAATTTAGGTAACTTAGAGTTGCCAAAACACTAGCAGATGCATATTTACACATATACTCTCAGAAAAATGTAATTTTCCATATAGAAACAATGCACAAACATAAGAAGGAACAGTTTTAATCTGTCTGCCCATGTTTCTGGTACCTTTGGCCTCCAGTACTTAAAAGCTGCAATGTCCTCACATATGTGACCTTAACAGTTACTTCTTTCCCTGTGCCATTGTGCATGTGCCAATTTGTCATTTGTGCAGAGAGTAAGAAGTTTTGGAAGATGGAATGACTTTATGCAGACAACTAACCGTACCCGTAAAAATTGCAAGAGTTACTAAGTAGGTCCTTTGAACTTTAGTTCAAAGGACCTACTTAGTAACTCTTGCAATTTTTAAAAAGGTGGCCTGTAATTATGTTTATAGAACAATGCCCAATTGTGATATTTTAATAATGCCCACATCATAATTCCCCAAATGAAAAGTTAATCAACTTAAAATTCTCTTAAAAGCTTCAAAGCATTTCACTCTTCGAAAGTAGCAACTCCTACCATTAAGTCTATGACCTCGACCCATGTCCTACACGATGAAGAGAAAGACTCATGTTCTCAGTCACTTACATATAGTTCAGTCTTCTGCATTTTCTAAATTTCTGGTCTACAGTGTTAGCCAGTTACTGGTAGAGCCACGTAAATAATTGATTTGGATTCTGGCCATATACTTATATGATTAGGATATATTTACTTAAAGAAGGTCTGGTAGTAAATACTTATGATCTGTCTTCTTCTTGCTGTACCTATGCTGTCCTCACCAAGAGGGAGCAGCCATGCTGTCTCATATGGTAATGGTGTGCTGCTTATTCACTCTCCTTATAAGTTTGCATGCTTTAGCTCATTTATTTTCAAAATCACTATAAATAATGGTCAGTTTTGTGCATATATGAAGCAAGAAAAAATTTGTATAAATACTCTTTTTTGGGTTTCATGAAAGATATGAGGAAGACATCATTATGGGAAAATTATTTTCACATAGTCTGATTTATTAAAATCTCATGATTGCACTCATAGCATGTTTAATTAAGGTTAAATATGAAAAGTAAAAATAGACATATGTTGTTAAACTAGAACCACAATGAGAAGGTAAAAGAGACACTGTCAAGGGTCTTCACTGCTAGATAGGAAATGCTGTGAACAGGTTGTTTTACTCTGAAAACGTTTCCTTTTTAAGAACTATCTGACTAATACTGCCATAAATCTTAAAGCAACTGTGAAGTAATGGGCCTATATATCTGCTGCAGACTATAGTGTAAGGCATGTAGTAAGCTCTCAATAAATGTTTGGAGAATCAATAAATGAATAAATTATGAATGAATAAGATAAAGAATGAATTGTATTGGCATTTCAAGAACTAAATCAGAAAAATCAGGTACTGTTCTTAATTTTTAAAAGTCCCAGATTAGAGGTTAGAGGTCTGCTGAATTTCTAGACCTTGGTCTATAACTTTTCAAACAATAAACTACTTAAAGAATTATGAAGAATCTTAAGCTTTAAAATTTGGGCAGATTGGTTACTTTCTATCTCTGGAACACACACACACTTCCATGTATGTATGTAAACAGTTACTGGATCAAATATAAAGTGTACTTTCTACTGTGAGTCATGAATAAAAATATTTGAAACTCACCCAAAAAAAATTTAAAAATTGTGTAGATTAAGATAATATCTTCTCTTATTCAGCATCTCCATGGTTTGCTTAAAATTTAAGAATGACTAGACCCATTAAAAATCACAGGCCTTTTTTATCTATCAGGTAACTCAGATTCGGCCACCATTCTGCTAAGTGGTCTCCTCTCCCCTTCTTTGGAGTGTCATCTAAATGCAATATGAAATTGGGGGTGGAGAGCAGTTACATACAGTCTACTCACTATGGTGTCTGGTCTTTTCAGTGTTGTCTCTGCTCTGTAGTTTCCTGTCCGTGTAGATCCCTGATGTGTCTTCCTTGTCCCAGCTCCAAGGCCTCCTCAAGTCTTCAGGCTCCTTTGTCATGCCTTCCTTGCTCTGGGCCCCTCTGGGTCATAATGGGGCATGGTGACCCTGTGAGGCTATAGTCCTAGACACCAGCCTGCAAAGACATCTTCCTGCTCCCACATCATGGATGTGTTTACCCTCAGACCGGAGCCTCACCCTCCCCTTGCTTTATGACAGAGTGGCTCTGTGACATGTCAGCTAGATTCCAAATTGGATTTGGTGCTTGTGAGACATTTGTGAGTGACAAGAGGGTCAGTAGAAGGGATAAGCCAGAATTTTCCTCCACTGTTCTTTGCATCATGATCATCACCAGCTACATTTCCTTTGTGATTTACTCCCTCTGAACAAGCCTGCTGTGACTCTAGCTTCCCTGGTGACCCAGACCTCTGGACATCAATAACACCATCTCTTCCCATTCTCCTTTCAGCATAGGGACATAGAGATACAGTCCTTCATCTAAGAGTCCACTGAATGTTAGGGATGGATGGACACGTAACACAGATGTCTATAATGCAACAAGAAATAGAGAGGAAACAGATCATGTGTGAAAAGATGCATTGTGACTGGAGATGCACATAGAGGCGTTCCAATACTTGACTGAAAAATAGTTTCTCAGCGAAGGCCTAACAGTCAGGTGGTATTTGGTCTGAGTCTTCAGGAATGAATAGGGATTTTGCAGGCAAATAGGGGAGGGATTCTCCCCTCTGTTATTTTTCTATATCCCTCTCAATGCACTGATTTTCAAGAGAAGTGTGTATATTCCTTATGTAGAAACATAACAGATCTCTCAGGGTTTATCCTCGTTTGGATTAGTAAATGGGGCAGCACTAGAGTGGTAGGATGCGTGTGACCTGAGTTTCAACTCTGTTGAGTAGCATCATCGGCTTACAGGAAATGAGGTGGGTTTTTTTTGTTTAATGTATACTTTCGTAGATTCGATGGGGCCATTTCTAGACTTCAGTCTTGAGCTAAAGACTTGGATCTCAAGGCACTCAAACAGTCTTACAGAATGTGCAATCCATAAAAATATATCTACTTACGCCATCTAAAATATATTATATCTATATTAGCCAAACTTCTGTAATGAAAGAGATTTCAGATTGTCCTGTAATACTCTAATCTGTCAGGACTTTCCTCAGAATACTGTATTTTGCTATTTTTTTAAACAGAGAAATAAGACTATTGATTTACAAATAACTTCATCTATCAGTATGCTAGAAACAATATTCCTAAAGTAGCCTTTTATGATCTAATAATTTTAAAAATGAAACTAATTGTTGTTTTTTCCATTGTTTGCAAAATGAAAATTGATTACATTACAGAAAACAGTAAAGTCATGAACTATTAAAAAAAAATGACCGGCCTTCCGATGACTTAGCATCCTCTTTGCCTCTTTGCTGACATCCTGATATGTTCCTCATCATTTTTGTGCTTGAAATATCATATATTGTGTCAGCTTTGGTCCAGTCAACAAGTTGAGGAATCCAGCAGGTTTATGTGTGTTGCAACTGAGGTAAAAGGTCTTTAAAAAGTATATTAGCTGACTATATGGATGTTCTTCAGTTCAAACCTGACCACCCTTTGCTCTCACATGGAAATATATCCACTAGCAGTGTTATAAGTGATCCTATCAGCAAACGTGTGCATCAGTGGTTTTCCATAACATCATATTTACATTAGGACTTAATAGGACATTCATAAAGCAACATGCAGTTTGTTATATTTAAATGCATGTGACCTCCTTATTTCAAAAACAAGTATCTTTAAACTTAGTAATAGCATTTCTCTATATGCAAACCTCTGTACATAAAAAGGTTTACATTTTAAAACAAACATGTTTTTGAGTTGTATCCAAATTCAAAAAAAGCATCTGAAAAATTTAACAGCTGAAAAACACTTTCTCCTTGCTGGGAAAACTTAAACCTTGCTAGGCTTTATGCAACTTTAAAAAAAAAGCCACTTCTGTGCTGAGAACTAGCATGAGAAATCTCAGCATGAAAGGTTGTTGGATTTTTTTTTCTTCATAAAGCAAAGCCCAATTGTTGGTTTTAAGAGTGATGCCACAATATACATATGCTTTGTTAGGAACAAATATAATCTAATTTCAAGGGCATCTTCAACAAAAATTAGGGGGGAAAGATAAAGGCTACTTAAGCAGTGATCCAGTGTCTGAAAGCAAAGGTTGAGAACATCATTGTACCATCAAGGTCTAGAAACGCTGCTGACCCTGAGCTGGTTGTTACTCTTTGAAAAGCCTATGGATATTTGTTTTGTTATTGTCTCATTCAATTCTTACTTAGCCGAGAGTATCTCACAAGGGTAGCACGGCTCTGTGATGGTGTCCTGGACTTTGTTTTCTATTTGTTTCAGCACTTCAATAAATGGTCTGTTACCTGCCATTATGACCTGCATGCATTTGCCGAGCAGTTTTTCCAAACAAAACAAATTATGTGGCTGTATTTCTAGAATGCTGAGCCATTTTCAACATAATATGGAATTAGAAACACACATAGACACGTCCACACAATTGTATGTTTATACTGAACACATATGTTCAGGCATATTCAAGAAAATAAGAGAAAAGAAAATAGGTTGGACAATACAAATATGGAAATACAGCTTGTTCAATCATTTACAGCCCATACTCCTAACAGTGTGCATATGTAGAAGTGACTTTGTAAAGAAGACCCACGTGTGTTCCTACACTCGGGCCTCTTCCTTTTAATACTCTACTGGGGATAAAAGACACAAAGTAATTTTTGAAATATCATGCTGGCTACTTTTAGAGTATATTAGTGTGGGTAGTGACTTAAGAGGTCATGTTTGGGAGAAGTAGCAACATACTTCTATTATTTACATGGTGATTTTTTTATAAGTCCTTCCTTGAAGACAGACTTAGATATTTCAAGACCTCCTTAGAAAAATTTTTCAGCACCTTCTGTGCTCCAAATTGAGTCAGTTTGCATCATGTTTCAGTGTAACTGAGTAACAGGCTAGCAAATTCTCTGCTTTCTTATTCACCAAAATCCAAAATAGAACTCACAAAAACTCTTTCCTTCTTCCCCCCATCTTGAAAAAGCACCCCACTGTGCCCCCGCCCATGGAAGAACAGAGCAGAAAAAAAAGTAAACAGAGCCAGCTGTAACTATAGCACTTTGCTCAGTACTGTGAGCTTGCTAGAGCTGGCACATTTTTTATAATACAGATGCATAAATGTCTGAGGCAGAGGAATTGCAGCATCCCCTTAAGTATTTCTTGACTGCCTTGGTCTAAAGTATGTTGCACAGGAGAAGCCTCCCTAAACTCAGAATAAAAGACTTTATTTGGTATCTTCTTTAAAATTGTGACCTTCCATGACTTAATTTTCCATAAGGTTTGTAGAAAACCACCTTTTTCAGACTTTCATGGGATTTTTCCAGATTCAGACTTCCAGGGTCTGTGTCTTACTCTCACACATCCACATATGCATACATATTTCAGATTACATATTTAAAGTGAAATATGTAAATATGAACTGTTTTAAAGTTACTGACTGTGCATATGTGTTTGTGTGTTTGATAATGAATTGTTTAGTAATGAATTGTTGTTTCACAGTGGACATAAGATAATCAAATCAATGGAAAATTATTGTTTAAAACATGATAGCTATTAGTTTTTCCAGAATGAGATATGCATTCTTCAGGGCAGGTTATTATGAAGTACTTTTTTTATTCTCTAAAATTATTTGGTAGAATAAAATTCTTCAAATGTATAATACTGATTAAAGTAAATGGGAAGAAAAAATGCACTTCAGCCAGAGGTCCAGTTAAACATCCAAATTTTCACCAAAACTTGTCTAAAATTCGTATCTGCCTCTGAGGGATAAAGATTAGAAACACTGAGGTCTATGCAAAAGAGTGCAGGGTACAGGCCAGACGACGTTGCTCACACCTGTAATCCCAGCACTTTGGGAGGCCAAGGTGGGCGGATCACCTGACATCGGGAGTTTGAAACCAGCCTGACCAACATGGAGAAACCCAGCCTCTACTAAAAATACAAAATCATCTGGGCGTGGTGGCACATGCCTGTAATCCCAGCTACTTAGGAGGCTGAGGCAGGAGAATTGCTTGAACCTGGGAGGTGGAGGTTGTGGTCAGCCGAGATCGCACCATTGCACTTCAGCTTGGGCAACAAGAGCGAAACTCTTGTCTCAAAAAAAAAAAAAAAAGAGTGCAAGGTACAAAGGTTATTTGCAGTAGCTTAGAGATGAATTCCAAAGGTTCAGACCTGCATTCGAAAACAGACCCTGTGTCCTTTGAGATATGTTAATTCACTTTAAGCATCAGATTTTTTTTAGCTATAATCAGAAAACTCTTGTGATGATTAAATTAGATAATACATATGAAACGTGTAGCCCAATACATGTTTGATTTGTATTATCTAATTTAATATACAAAATGCTTCATAATGATAATTATGGATCTAAATTATTTTAGCAGTAGTGTTATCTTGGAAATAAGTATTTCTATCTTGGAGATAGAAATGGTGGAAACTGAAGCATGTTATTTCTGGCATGTTTTCCAGTTTATATGTGATGTTTCTTTGTAAGCACAACACATAATTATGCAACCAGTATTTTGCTTTTTCAGGGTGACCTTTATTGCACACTAAAAATGTCCCAGGTACTCTGGAAGGGATTAGAAACACATCTTCTCTTAGGATCCTTAGAACAGCCCCTATAAGTTACCATTATTATACCTGTTTTTCAGATGAGAACACCGAAGCTGAGAAAGCATCAGCACCTTTCCCACAGTTAGATAACCAGGTAATGATGGGGTAAAAATTTGAACCAGGCAGTCTAGCCCTAAACTGCAACCTAAGAAAATAATTACAAGTAAACAAAACCCATTATACACAAGATATTTATTATATGGCTGTGACTTGAGTGTGTCTTCTAAAGTTCATGTGTTGGACACTTAATCTCTGACGCAACAGTGCTGGAAGGTGGGGCCTCATAAGAGGTGATTAGGTCATGAGGGCTCTGCCTTTATGAATGAATTAATGTCACCACTGCAGGAGTGTGTGCACTGGTTATCATGAGAGTAGGTCTGGTCTAAAAGTGAGTTTGGCTTCTTCTCACTCTCTGGCTCTTGTGCTCTCTTGCCCTCTGCCTTCCACCATGGAATGATCC